CTGGCGGAATAGTTCCCAAATTTCCGACACGGCTCTGTCTGCAGCGATCACTTCTAAAGCAAACGCTGACTCTTGGTTGTGTAAGCATACTGCATCAACCACTGCCAATCGCAAGCTGTTGTCTGTGTTGGTGTCAACCAAAAATATTGCAAAGGCAGCGGCTCCCGTGGTACCTCTGAGCCCACCATCCGAATACACCTGGAGCGAGTGGCCTCGCAGAAGATCAGTGCCGATGTCCGCGACAAAATCGCGTCGGAACCCAGCCCGCACGTCCAGACATATATTGCACAGTCGGTCTGCGGTGACGTTCCATTCGCGCGGCCTCTACTCGTGTGTCGGCAGGAAGGCAGCTTTGTTCTGGAATGTCTCATCGTAGCAGTCCGCCAATCTCGTGAGAATGCGGTCAAAGGCCGGCTTGTACACTGGATTATCGCAACAAGCTTCCAGATTTACAACGTTGGCTATCGTCAACGAGTCGACCACAAACTCGAGCTGTGGCACAGTGCCCCCCTTCAGCCAAAGCTGATCTCTCTGAAGCCGCGGCGGATATGGTAAAGCCTCTATGTCCTGCATTCCGTAATTCCCTGCTGCCGCTGCTGCCAGATGCTCTCGAACATCGCCTCGGGAGGTCGCCGGTACGTGCGGCAGCTTCCAAGCGTCGCACACCTTTTGATCGAAACTGCCTTGATGTGTCTTCCATGTTTTGGCATCAGCGCACGCCGTCAGCGTCGCCCTCCAAACATCGCCCCATGCTGCCCGAAACGGGCCTTCATGCGTAGTGGCCAGCCCAGCTCGCGCTTGAACGTAACCCCCCTCTCTCAGCCGTTTCCTGGAAGGCACGTCCTTCATCGCTTCCCACACGAGGGCGCTTCGTTCTTGGCGTATGGCCGAAACCAGCTCATCGTTGTCGTCCCCCTAGTTTCCTCTCCTTCGCCTTCCCCTGGTCTTCCTTCTCTTCCTACTCCGTCCACTCAAGGTCCTGGCGCTGCTATTCGTCCTTGTCATTATCATTCCTCCTCGTTTTCCTCCTCCTCCTCCTTATCCTCCTGCTCATCCTCCTGACCAGCCACTTCCACCTCCACCTCCACCTCCTCCTCCTCCTCCTCCTCTTCCTCCTTCTATGTACGCAGCTTCACTTGTCCGATTGCGCATAAGACGATGGGGTCTTTTGTGGAGTTCCAGGTCGGCTGTGAAACGCGCCCGCGGATAGAAAAAACAGCGCAATGGAAAGAGATGGGAGGGAGAGATAGGATGTCAGACATGGCGTGAGCGCACCTAGCTTGCATCCCCCTCTCCCTCCTCCCCCTCCCCCTCCCTTTCCCCCCCCCACTCTCTTTCCCCTACCCTACCCCCCTCCCACGTACATTTACGCAACAGCTACTCAATATTGATACTACTCTTCTCTATCCCCAGATCCTACCCAAGCGGGCCCTCTTTTCCTCCCACATGCTGCTTGGCTAAGCGCGCATAATGTCAATGTTTGATGTCTCATGTTTTTTTTTTTTATCAGGACGTTCCACAATTAGCTTGCCTAGGGGGGTCCTGTTGTTACTTTGCCCGTTGCTCGGAGGTTCCTCGGGTTCCTCGGACTCCCCGCCCTGGGTGCCTCCCATTGTTACGTTGCCCAGTTCCCGGAGGCTTATCGGGTTCCTCGGTTTTCGCGCCCCCGGTGCCTCCTAATCTAATGTTACTTTGCCCGTTGCCCGGAGGTTCGTTGCCAAGCACTGCGAAACAATGCGCGAAGCAATGCTAATGAATGCCAAGCAATGCCAAGCAATGCCAAGCAATGCCAAGCAATACCAAGCAATGCCAAGCAATGCCAAGCAATGCGACGCAATGCGACGAAATGCCAAGCAATGCGACGCAATGCGAAGCAATGCGACGCAATGCAACAAAATGCCAAGCAATGCGACGCAATGCGAAACAATGCCAAGGACTGGCATGCAATGCCAAGCAATGCCAAGCAATGCCAAGCAATGCCAAGCAATACCAAGCAATGCCAAGCAATGCGAAGCAATGCAAAGCAATGCCAGGCAATGCCAAACGATGCAAAGCAACGCCAAGCAATGCGAAGCAGTGCCAAGCAATGCCCAACACTGCGCCCATGCAATCGGAAACATTCCTCTAATTGGGGTCAAGCCGGGATCGTTTTAGGAATGTCAAAATGGTGTTCCCGCTGCAGTGTTGCCCCAATACCAGAATCGGCGCTTCGCTCCCGTGGTTCAGAACGGCGCTATCGCCCGAGGGCCACGTTTCTGGATCAAATTCCTTCATCGTCGTTGTCACCCCCCATCATTTACCTTCATTCGCATTCCCTTGATCCTCCTGATCCTCCCGCTCGTCCTTCTCCTCCTCCTCCTCCTCTTCCTCCTGTTCCCGCTGCTGCTGCTGCTGCTCCTTCCTCCTCTTCATCTTCTTATTCTTCCTCCTCCTCCTCCTCGTCCTGCTCATTCTCGTGCTCCTCCGCCTCCTCCGCCTTCGTCTCCTCCTCCTCCTCCTCCTCCTCCACACCGTGGCTCCCCATGCCCCTGCCTCCCTCCCTCCTTCCCGCCCCCCTCCCCCCCCCCTCCCTCCCCCATGTCACCCCTCCTCCCCCATCACACACACCCCCCATCGCACGATTCCCTGTCGCTGCGCCTCCCTCCCCGCAGGAGGCGGGGGAGCCTGCCGGTGGCCCTCTCGCGGCGTCCACCGTGCCCGCGCGCGGGGACGAGCCCCTGGCGGCGGGCTTCATCATCATCCCCACCACCACCATCAGCTGCATCCTCCTCCTCCTCCTCCTCCTCCTCCTCGGTCCCCTCCTCCTCCTCCTCCTCCTTTTCCTCCTCCTCCTCCTCCTCCTCCTCCTCCTCATCCTCATCATCATCATCATCATCATCATCATCATCATCATCATCATCATCATCATCATCATCATTATCATCATCATCATCATCATCAGCAGCAGCATCATCATCATCAGCATCAGCATCAGCATCATCATCATCATCATCATCATCATCATCATCATCATCATCATCATCATCATCACCATGGCCATGATCCAATTCATCGTCAACACCATGATCATCATCAGCAGCAGCTTTCGCATCATCAGCATCATCAGCAGCAACATGCAGCAACATTAGATCCACCATCATCACTATCGCCATCACAAACATCACCATCACCACCATCATCACCATAGCCACAACCATCATACTCATCAGCAGCATCATCCTCATCATCATCCTCGTCCTCATCATCGTCACCACCATCATCAACATCATCAGCATCATGCCGCATGCTCTCTCCCCGAACCGTGGCCAGACGGAGCGTCGAAAGACTAAGGTACACAAAGCACTTTCGAACGTCGATGCTGCAAGCGACATTTCGCTTCGAAGCACGAGGAGTCCAGGCGCCTCGCTCTGCAGAAATTAAGTTTACACCAGCACATTTGACCTGGCATGTGGGCGAGCCAGGGTGGACGCGGGTGGGTATCTGTCGCCATCAAAACGAGCGGAGCCCACACGGCCACGGAATGCTGGCTGCGACAATGGGGTTGGGACAACGGATCTATGCCGCATCCTCTCTCTCTCCCCGAGCCGCGGCCAGACGGAGCGTCGAATGACTACGATATACACTGCACTTTCGAACGTCGATGCTGCAGGCGACATGTTGCTTCGAAGCACGAGGAGTCCAGGCGCCTCGCCCGACTGCCCGTACCTGGCCCTCTGGCCGTTCATGTCAAAAATAAATACCTCCCCCGTGTGGAGAAGCCTTCAGCAATGCACTTGATGAGACTAGCTGCCATTCTAACTCCGAAATGAACGAACGGTGAAACAGGCACATGACCCCGAGCATCGCCTCTGCATCTGCACGGGCCCCCAACCAAAGACGGCCACCCGAGGCCGAAGAAAACTCAGTGCACTGGACGATGCATGCCACCGCTCCCGAGGGAGCACGGCGAAAGACGGTGGAACCACTCGCCCGCTTGCTGCAAAAAGAAGCGGGCCTGGACATCTTGCAGTTCAGACGGAGCGGCAGGCAGCAGACAGATGACAGGCAGGTTCGCGCTTCGGGCAGCGCGGAGCAGCGTGCACAAATGAAATGAGGCGTCAGGACTTGGGGTGGCGAGCCAGGTCAGCGTAGGTGCCGAAATCGATCGGGATGAAATCCGGCCCACCAGACGGCGTCTCAAAAGATAAGACGCTAGGTATGTAGTTGACATAGATCCAAAGGGCGACGTGATCAGCGATGGTCGGGGCAGCTCTGGCCAGCTCGCCGCGCGAGAACCCCGGCTCCACGATTAGAGAGCCGCGGCGCTGGCGGCAGAGGCGGCTCGCGCGAGCGACCTCGCGGAGGGCCGCTAGATCCTCGCTCGGAGCTCTCTTGGAGTCTTCAGCGCGGTCATCTTTAGCAAGAGCTGGCCCAGCTTGGCCTCGACCTCCTCGGCGAAACAGGCCATCCACTCGGGCACCCTGTTCAGCAGAGACAGGTGCCTGACCTCCTCGGCGCATCTGGCGACCGACTGCTGCCCCGAGTGCCTGAGGATGGACTGCGCCTCTGCCAGCGGGGCGCGGTCTATGGCCACCGCGTGCGACGCCGCGCCGTGCCTCACCTGGCATGGGATGACGGTCTCATTGTAGCCGACCAGCTTGAGGTACTGCTCAAACTTGACCTTGAACGCGCGGGGCGCGAAGCTCCAGAACGGCTCCAACGGGCGCCGCACGGCGCGGAGCTTGGCGAGGAAGGAAGATCCCCCCTGCTGCCAGGGCACGCTCCGACGGACCGCGCCCTCGTCGAAGCCTCGAATCCTGCTTCGAGACTCCACCTCTCTCGGGTACAACAACAATGCCCACTTGGGGCACGCCCCTCGCCCTGGGCCCACCAACGTCTCGGGGGCCATTGCCAGCAAATCGCTCGGCAAGCGAAGCATCGCGCCCCGCGCGATCGCGAGGGTGGCAGCGAACTCCAGGTCCCGCCTGAGGACGCTGACACCGACCATGGCGAACACCACTGGCTTCGGGAGGGCGCCGAGTGAGCCCGCGAACCCTCGGCGGCGAAATTCGCGGAGGGCCGCTCGCGCCCGGGGCAACCCGCCGAACTTGGCCTTCGGTAGGTCGGGCCTGCAGCGCTGGATCGCCGCCAGCAGCCGCGAGCCCGTCTCCCCGAGCTCCCCCTCCCAGCACAGGTGGCCCAGGCAGTGCGCGAGCAGCAGGTCGAGGCGGTCCAGGGTGACGAGCTTCACCGACTCAAGGTTGGCCCACGTCACGAACAGGGCAACCATCTTCTGGTAAATTTTCGCGTTGCTACTCTTGGGAATGCATACTGCAAGTACGTCGGCCAGAACTCTGCGGCCTCGGCCCTGCCGTCTGCGTCGCGCGCTCGCCACTTCGCCCTCTCGCCCTCAACGGAGCATGGCGGGGCTTCCCCGCAGTGCGTCGATGACGAAGAGCTGGTCCTGAGGCTCCGACCTGCCGCGCGGCATGAAGGCGACGGAGCACTCGTGCTGACCGCGCCTCCGCTGCCCCGCGGAGCGCGGAAGCTCTCGACGTCGAAGCCGTCGCCCGATCCGTCGTGCGCGAGGCGGCCCCAGGCGTCGGCGCCCCCCTCCTCCAGGTAGTGCTGGATGCCGAGCTTGGCGTTATTGCGCTTGCCGTCGGGGTCGAACTCGCGGCAGTCGAGCCACTCGACCTCCTCGAGCATCGCCCTCTCGAAGGCGGCCATGGCCTTGCCAGCGTTGCGGGGGCCCGGCCCGATGCGCCCGACGGGCGGGGCCACGGTGCGAGAACCCCTGCCGCTGCTGCCCCATTCGCCCGGGAACCAACGGGCGGCTACGGTCGAGTCGTTGAACAGACGTACTGCAGCCAACTCGCGGTGCGAGGAGTTGAGAAGGGGAGATGACGCTCTTCCACCAAGGCCAACACTAAGCTCACATTGTCGCAAAGTAAAAGCTGTATCGTTCCTCTCGATCGGATGTCTCTAAACCGACGCCGAAATCCGAGTGGGACCCCCCTTTCCCTCGAGCCTCAGGAAATTCTCAGACCGAGCCCAGCGCCCGAAGAGCGCGGAGGTCCAGGCGTCCAGCGGAAAGACTAGGATGGTGTCGAGGCCCACGAAGTCGCTCTGCGTCTCGCGGTCAGTGGTCAGGCCGCCGGGGGCGCTCTCGCCCGCGCAGGCAACCACCTTCCCAGCACCGCACTCGTCCTGGTCGCGGTTGACCTGCTCGAGGCCTGCCGCGAGCTGGCTCGAGTAGGCATGCTCGCGAGCCGCGGCGGCACCTGCCCCGAGGTGGCGCCAGCACTCGGACCGCCTCGCGGCGCCCCGCGCCGCCTCCGTGGGCCAGGAGCGCTCGGTGACGCCGAAGCCGCCGAAGAGCGCGCCCCCGGGCCCCCGGGGTCGCCGCCCCCTGTCGAGGCGTCCGCGCTCGTCGCGAAAGGGTCGACGAGGCGCCTCGCGTCGAGGTGGGCCAGCCCCGGCAGCGCGCCCGCAGCCCGCAGCTCGGGGGCCACGTCGGGCCACGGCCGCCGCGCGTTGTCCCCCGCCTTGCGCGAACGCCGATAGGTCGCGCTGAAGAAGGAGAGGAGGGGCCTCCTCAAGAGAGCAGCCCAGTTGCAGTGGCCGACGAGCTGGAACACCGCGCGCCCAGATACATACTTCCGAGACGCCGGCTCCAATAGTGCGAAACGAATCTTCCACGGGCGGCCGGGGGGCAGGCGCGCCTCGCCCGTGGCTTGCTGGAAGACCAGGCCTGCGAGGGGCTGCTCGTCCGCGGCGGTGGCGATGCCCTTGCAGCGCAAACCGCCAGCCTCCAGCTCGCGCTCGACAGCTGCAATGCCGCCCTGCGCCTGCCGCCGATTCACGCCCACCGCAGCCGCGCCGCCCACGTCGGTAGCGACCGAGGGGCTGAGGGCAATGTTCTTTACCGCGTGCCTGTCACTGATCATGTCCTTCTCGCGGAACCCCGCCTTCAAGACATGCGCCAGGACGACGTGCTGGCAGAAGTAGAGGGACCAGTTCCACCCCATTGGCAGCATGACAAGGCGGGGGGCGGTCCGCTTCCCGCTGATCACCTCCCCGGGCAAGGACGGATCGATCTTCGCCTGGTCTGGCACGAGACCACCGGCAACGCCATGAGCTCGGACAACCCCACTGGCGCCTCCACGCGGTAGAAGGCGGCCTCGATATCCACTTGCTCGACAACCAACTCATCGCCTTCGCGGGTGCGAAGCCCGCCCCACGCCCCAGCAGTCGGCAACTCCACCATGGCAGGATCGTGGAAGTAAGAGCTGACCTCCCTCGTATCCAAGACCAGGCGGCGTCTCCCACCGGCCTTTGCGACGAAGAATGGTGCGACGGCACAGGCGGTGTCCTCTTCGAAGGTGATCATCCCAGCCTTGAAGAGGCGCCTCACAAAACGCACGCAATAAGTCGACTTGTCTCGACGTAGAACCTCGTCAGAGTGAGTGCGAATTGCCGCGGAACGTTCCTCCTTCGGGAGCATGATCTGGCCTTCCAGTCACGCCACATGTCGCTCGCCTGACCAACCAGGTGCTCGCTAGGCTTGCACTTGACGTCGTCCAGTGGAAGGGCGACCGAGTCAACGGCGAACGCGGCTGGCTGCGCAGGCTCCTCGAGGTAGCCTGGGGCAGCGCGGCGCAACTCACTAAGAGCTGCCGCCGAGCTGGCGCGCGACGGGCCAAGTGAAGCCAGGCGGCTCCGCAAGTCCAGAACACCCACACGCTGAGAAAGAGAAAGGGAGTTGAAGTCGGGGCTGCCCTCCCTGCCGCCCAGCCAGGTGACCGCCGCCAGGCGCGCCGACATCCAAGAGTTGATAAAAAGCATTCTGCGCAGCCCGTCGTCCGCGGCCGCGTCTCGGAGCCGTGAGGGCGTCGAACCTCGGTGACTCGAGGATCGCGGGCGCCGCGCGCAGCGGCGTGGGCAAGAGATCCCGCTGCGCGACCATGGGGGCAGAAGGCAGCTCACTCGCCGCCGGGCGGGCGGCCAGGCTCGTCGCACTTCGAGCCGGCCTTGCCCGGGGTGGCGATCTGAGCCTTCAACTTCGTAATATCCGAGCGCTGCTTGTCGACCGAGCTTTGCAGAGCCGCCTGGCCGCCCTTGCACTCGTGGCTGCTTGCCGAAGCCTGATGCTCGGAGCGCCCCTCCCTCATCTTCCGCCGCCCATCAGGATGGTGGCCTCCGTCTTCAACTTCGGACGGCGAGGCCATGACCAAGCCTCGCGTCTCCCCGACGCCCAGGTAACGAGGTCGGCATCCTCGAGGAGCTTGTCGCCATGGGAGGCGCCGATGGCTCGCTCACGATGCCTGTGCTCGCACATTTGCAACTTCCGAGACACCAGCTCCATACACGTCAACTCGGTGATATTCAATTGATCGTACACTACAGCCAACTGTAATAATCGGCGACAAAATTCGTCATCCACCACTGACTGATCACCCACGGCCAAGCCCACCTCGGAACGCCACTTGGCGCGTCGGCTCCGCGGGGCCACGGCATGGTCCCGGATATATCTCGCAACCCAAAACGTCGTTCTCGGACCTGAGATGGGGAACTTCGGCCACTCCGTCTCGGAGAACTCGCTGACCGCGTCCCTCCAGCTTAGGCGCCTGCCCTCCTCTGACGTGTCGCAGATTCCCAACACCCTGGCGTCCAGCGACGCGTCCTTGGGCGCCTGGGTGGTGAAGTAGATTACCGCATAGCCGTGGTACAAGGCAAGACCGATGCCCGAGATCGCGAAAGACAGCATAACACTCAAATCCGTGATCATCCCGAGGTACTTGCCACCAGTAGCTCCCATAGCGTGTACCAGCGATCTGGAGACGGGTCGGGTAAGCCCTCCTCCACATGAGCATCAGGTGGCAACTCAATAACCTCGCCTGCGCTCTTCGAAAGCCTGTGGTGACATGACTTCTCCGTCTGGTCGGGTTTCTTCGACGCTGGAGCCTGGGCTGGCGGCCCTGGCCCCTCTGCCTCGGGCTCCTCCTGGGCGTCGGAGTGCGCGAGGGCCGTCCGAAGCATCACGTCGAAGCTCATCCCTGTCACGGACTCCAAGCACTCGAGGGAGAACGCGGGGGACGGATTCCACTCCGCGTTGTACGGCTCGGCCTCTGTGTCAAGCTGGCGTCCAATCGTCGAAGCGGGGCGTCCACGGCCCCTCCGATCGAGCTCCATCGCGCTGTACACTCCTTTGGCGTGCAGCATGTGTGGATACGTATCTCCGTCGGGCGTGGCCGCCCACCATTGACACTCCACTCCCACCGTCGCTGGAACTGTCCTGCCCATCACTGTCTGGAACTCCTCGGCGGTGGCGGGAGCGATGAGCGCACGCTCTTGGGGGGACTTGCCACGCTCCCACTGCACGAGCATCCGCTGCCCTGCCTTCAACACCATTCCGTCGGCAGCTGAAAAGACTGGAGCGGCCGAGCAGGAACCCCACGGAGACGCCGATCCACAAGACTAGAACCAGCGCGCCGCGCACACTCCCGACGAGGTCGGCCGCCGCAGCACACACGGAAGCCTGGCTCACGAAGTCCGCTGTGATCGGCGATCCCACTATGGCAGAGCCGAATCGCCAGGTCGCTGCGCCCAGCGTGGCCACTGCCACCGATGCAAGCGAACCGAAGGACATGAACGGCCGCTACTTATTGTCTTTCGCCATCAAAAAGAGCGGAGCCCACATGGCCACGGAATGCTGGCTGCGACAATGGGGTTGGGACAACGGATCTATCATCATCAGTAGCAGCATTATCATCAACCTCCCCCTCGCCCTCATCACGCTCGGTCCGCAGACAAATCGCACTACCACCTTATAAGCACTAAGTAGACAATGGTCATACGTACTTGTCGTGAAGTTATGACGATCAGCATCCTGTAGAGCAGCAGCAGCAGTCACAGTAGAAATGCCGACGATTGAGGTATTCTCCTCTCTCCAGGAAAGTAGCTCATGTGCCAACACCTGGGCCGCGAGGGCAGCGGATGAGGGGAGGAAGTAGGCAAAAGAGGGTACACACTTTGGAAAGGCCCAGCAAATATCGCCAGGACGACGTACCCCAAGTGAGGTGCCGCAGCGGCCACGGTTCCGGCCACAGGGGCGCGCCTAAACTCAGCCCGAGGTAGGTCCTGAGGCCCCCTCTCCAGGGTATACGTCTGATCTTGGGTGCCTGTGGCCTCCCCTGACTGGTGATGCTCAGAAAGTGTGTCAGCGAAAACGCGTGTCCGCCAAAGCCCTTCAGTATGACGCAGACGGTGCCATGAGGACAGACAAAGGCTGCGTGCTGTTGGTGGAGCTGGACGGGGTAACAAACACACACACACATACACACACACACACGCACTGATTGGGCTAACGCACGTCCTGAGGATCATCACCCTGCTGAAAAGAGGGGAGGGGGCGGTGATGGCTCGTATCCTTGATCATTCTGTCGAAGCGGTCCCGAGCCTGAACGTAGCCCATAGAAGGCCGATCGTCGCATCAGTGCCGCAGTCTTGAAGCTCTCGTCGAGCTCCAGTTGCTGCAATAAGGCTCGACCCTCCAGGGGGGCGAAGAACACAGCAACATGGTATGAGGGAAGCGCTTGCGTATGGGGGCGCGGCGGCAGCGGGGACAAGGCCCGCTGGAGGACGAGTCCACGAAGCCGCCGTACCCCAGCTGCTTCGGGCTGGGCGGCTCCGTCTCCCGCTGCGGCCAGGGCGCCGAGCGGCCGGGGCCCTGCGGCGCCGCCGGCGTGGCCAGTGCCCGGCAGGAGCGGAGAGGCCCGGCCGGCGGCCCGGCCGGCGGCCCGTCGGCGACGGCCGCCCGGCGGGCCCAAGGCCCGATCGCGGCAGGCCGCAGGGGAGGGGGCGGGGACGCCGGAGGGGCAGGGGCGGGAGCAGCGGCAGCGGCGGCAGCAGGGGGCGGAGGCTTCCCATGCTACTCAGCTTCGTGCTGCTGGGGCCCGTCGTGGTGCTCTCGGCCGTGGTGCTCGACACACTACCCGTCCCGCTCGTGCACGTCAGAGTCGTGCTGCTACCCTGTGGATGTTAGACTCGTACTGCTGCTCTCTGTCCTGTCGTGCTGCTCTCGTGGTGCTGGTCCCATTCGCGGATGGGGAACCGGGGGGGGGGGAGCCGGGGGGGAGGGGGGGGAAAGGAGGGGGGGGGGAAGGGAGGGGGGGAGGGAGGGGCTCGTTTGGGCCTCATGGGCCGCCTGGGCCCTGTTGAACCCGCCCAGGCTCGCATGCGGCTTCCCCGGGCCAGCACGAGCCACACGGGCCCTCCTGGAGCCCTCGCGCGTAGTTGTACATGAGACACAACCGAAAGTGGGCTAGAGCTTGGGAAGATAACCATAGTAGATGTCCGCTGATGACGTGTGCAACATCTGACAATACTACCCAAGAAGAGTACACCACGTCACTGGCCTCGAAAGTCAAGAGGTACATCCACTGTCACTTGAGTCCAGAGGACACTCGAGTAATAAAACCACCCACTGATTCCCATACATAAGCCAACAGCTCAACCATCAATCATCAAAAAAAAAAAAAAAAAAACACGCCACGCAAACATGGTATCGTCGCTTTCGGCTGTGCTCCAAGAGTCGGCTAGTCACCGTCGACACATAGTGGAGTCCCATGCGGACCATCATGACCATGAGATCGCTTCGACGTTCAGCGACACGATGAGCTTTAAGGTGATCCAACCAAAGGACCGCGAGACGCGTGGCTGGTCCTTCCACCAATCCAAAGATACACCAGATCGTTCGATGAGAGCCCTTCGAGTCGGCAGCACACCTTCGCATTCGGCGACGTCGTGTTTCACAAAAAGCCAGAAAACACCACCACAATCAGGACAGCACGGGATCTCCTGCTCGCCATCCTGGGCTGTGGCGTGAGACTTCACAGCACCACGTACTAATATGACCACTTCTTGCCACTGCTCAAGCGACAGCGACTCACGATACTTCTGCCACGGCTTGGCCGGAAGGGCCTTGACATCGACGTTAAACGTGCCACCGTAGTCGTTGCGGGTGTGCCTCGCCAGACGCAGGGCACGCACGCGACACGCAGCACGCAATACATGATATGAGACCTCACCTATCCGCTCCAGTATCCTCGACGGCTCCGAAACATCTTCTGGATCCGCAAGTCGGACTCGTTGGGGCCCTGCTCAAATCGGACTGCACGTTCAGAGCAGAACACTTTGTGCACCAGTCCCACGCGCTTGAGGAGGTCACTGACTTTCCTCTCCGTCCACGAGCTCATCTCCAGCTCCCACTCCGTCAGGCGCTGGATGCTAGTCAACCGGTTCGAGCACAGAGGGTGATGTCCAATGTGCAAGGCCGGAACCTGCCTCAGCACCACCGCGTACATCGAGTGCGCCAGATCGCAGACATCAGTTCGGGGGCGATATCCGCAGGCGGGGCCGTGAACGCCGGCGCGCGCCAAAGCCGCGAGGGTTTGACGCGCGCCTCCGCGGCCATCAACCTCGTTCTCGAACATCCAGGAATGCCCCGTAATGATAAGATGGCAGCATGCAAATTCCCCCATCCAGAGGGCGCGACAGGGGCCGCCTCGTCGCCAGGCGCGACCTCGACCCCGATGTGCTCGATCTTCTTGCGGTCACCGCGGTGCCACTCTTGTCGCTTGGCTCGTTTCTCTGCCGCTCCAGCCTCCAAGTCATACGCATCAATCTTGAGAATATCAGTAGCCAACTTTCCGTCGGACTCCGTCGCGAGCGAACGATCGTCCGCGAGCAGAATCTGCTCGCCCTCCACTTCCTAAGCCGCCAGCGCACTGCGCAAAACTTTGGGGGCGCGCGAGCCCCCCTGCGCAAGCCCACGGCGGGGCCGCGCACTCGTCCGCCAGCCCGCCCGAGACCCGACGGCTCCGCGGGCCACTCTAACCCGCGAAGGCCACAGCCACGAGGTCAGCAGGGACACCAGCAGCACGCAGTGAGGCGATGGCCACTTCATGAGGCACTTGATCTTAGCACTTGGACAGGTCGCGCTCCATGCCAGCCTGGGCCGAAGAATATGCATGCGCCACCGAGATGTCCGCTTCGCAGGCCCGCTGAGCTGCCCGCGGAGCTGGGAAGGCATCCGCACGCGCTGTCAACCGTAATCTTAGTGAAACGGATGCCACCCCAATCGGCCGCGAGGCCCCGCGCCTCTTCGCCATCCCAACCACGCGCCAGGAAAACAACAACTCTTGCAACTCTCGGACCTATGGAGGACGATCCGCCACCTTCACCATGCTCTGCGCCCCTGGGAAGCGCGACGCGGCCACCCAGAGGTCGCGCGGCTCACGAATCAAAGAAGGGAAGGCGGAGACTGCCACCTTCAGCTCTCTGGCAGTCCAGCCGTCGTAGCCAGCGCTACCCTTGCCCTTCGAGATTGCCTTGGCTAAGTCGCCGCAGGACGGTGACCAGTCGTCTGCCACCGTGCTCCGTGGAAGCGGATGCTTCATACTCTGAGCGCGCCGTTGCCACAATTCACCGCGATCAGCACCGTCGTGGCCAATGGATGCGGGCCGGCGCCAGATAGAAGACCGCCCCTTAGCCATGCTGGTGGCCGCGAAGGTAGGGCAAGCCGTCGCCTCGTGCGTGGCAGAAGACGCAGCTCGCCCAGCATCAGGATCAAAAACCACTCTGCGAAGGAGAATCCTCCATTCCTGCAGCCCCTCCTCCTGGATGCGGGCCCCGTACTTCACGATGGCCTCGGAAGTGCGATCGCGCGCGCGCCCAGGACTCGGTAAACCTGCCAATCCATTATCAATATCCCTCTGCGTACACAAGGCAATGAGCGTGTCCAAGGCCCGACCCCCCATGGGAGTCTCGGCAGGCAGCTTCTTCACCTGCTCCACCATCTGCCTTCCCAGCCGATTGAGACGGCTGAGCATGAGGGGCCCGTTGGGTATCCTGCTTGGCGCGGCCGCCGCAGGTCGCGACGACGGCGGCGTGCTCTTGGCGCGCTCGGTGGCCCCGCGCTTCGCGATAAGGCCCGCCTCCACACTCTGCTCGAAGACGTAGTTGGCACGATCGTGCCATCGTTGCCACCGGCGTACCAGCGGCTCCTCAGGTCCCGATGGTGGGACCATCCTCATGGCGGAAGCGTAGATGGCCTCCAGGTCATGCGGCAACACAATCGCCGCGGCGTCGGGGGAGTAGGTCGTCGCCCTCTTGAGCCTCGCAGTTGGCCCACGCGCAGGAAGAACCCGAGACGGGTCAGCACGAACGCGACCATTATACGACGCGCCTGCAATAAATGTTGCGCCCAAATGCGTCGGCGCCACTCCAGCCGCGCAAAAACGGGTCGGCTGAGACCCCGACGCAGTGGCAGGTGCGATCATCTCAAACTGTAGCTCAAGGCGGAATGCACTGCTGATGTACATGCCTCCAATTTAGAG